TGTTTGGTCTGAGTTGCCATTTTAATTCTTTGATCCTTAGCCCCTTCCCCAAAACACTGGTTGTTTAAGCCAGTGTCTGGGCTGCTGAGGAGGCTGAGAGGAGTTTAACGCTTCACATGCAGTGGTTCAGCGCTAACATTACTGGGGGATGTTTTCAGATCTCTGTTCAATCTTCAGTGGCGAGGTCAACTGCTTGTGATTTCCAAGGCTGGCATGCCAAGGGCACTTCAGGTAGAATACTTATTTTTCCCACTTCAAGAACAGTTCCAGGTTACCTTGTTTGTTTAAACAAGGGAACCTGCACTACCTCTTGTTAGACAAAATATAGAAGACTGGCTACACTTGGCAGACACATTTGGTGGAAATTCCTGTTGTCTGGGCATGGATGTAGAAGCAGGAAGTCACAGAATGTAAAAAAAAAAAAAAAATAATAATACGGAGCAGCAGAGTTAGCCTGGGTTAGTAATGCATGAACGGGAGAGCTGCAGGTGGTTCACCTGGTGCAGTGTGTTTGCTTGGGGAGGAGGAGACTTGTTTCGTTCCGAGCAAATCCTGCTGAATGCTTTGGTGCCGTCAGTGAAGATAAGGAACTGGCCACTTTATATATCCTGTATGTTTTCCTCCCTTCACCCCCTTAATGAAGGCGGAACGACAATTCTGTATTTTAAATCTTAAAAAATTTAATTAACTGTAAATGTCTTCTAAATCAAATGCAATTCTGATGCTCCTCCTCAGATTTAGGCAGAGCGGAATAAATTTCAGGTGTGTCCGATGGGATAGCATCCTTCCATTTTGTGATGACGGAACTGGAAATCTTTGTTGCAGAAGGCTTTGACGGGATTGTGAACCGCTGAGTCCGTACAAAGAAGTGTATTTAGTGTGTGTGAGAAAACCAACCGAAATACGTCACTTGGCAAAGCCCTCTGCAACGTCTTTCTCTATCAGGAATTGTATTTGCCAGGGATTGCCTCTGTAAATAAATTTTGTGTTTAAAAAAATAAACACACGCACACAAAAACAGTCATAAAAACCCAGGTGTGCCCAGTGCAAAGATTGTTTCTAGCTGAAAGGTTGGGGATTTCGGGACCTTTTGATTAATTATAGAGCTCGTGAATAACCAACTGTGTCCTGGAGGAAGCGACACTAACCCTTCTCTCGGCTTGTAACAATAGCTGGTTAAAAGTTCAATGAGCGCGCTTCCCAATTATATCCTATAATTGTGTGCGAGTTCCTATTGGAGGGGTGTGAATGAACTTGCTGGGATGTTTATGCTTCTTAATTAAGGCTGTTGGGTAGCTGAAAGAAAAAAAAATGGATGTTGGGTAGCGGGAAGTCGTGGGGGTACTGGCTGGGGGTGTCTGGCAGCGGGCTGAGCTGCTTGGTACGTGCCTGTAGTTATTTCAGGTGCTGCTTTGATCCCGAGTTCGCGGCTGGCGTTGCGTAAGCGTGCAAACTGGCTGCGGCTCGGCCGCCGAGACGCCGCAGGTTACAACTGTGCGCGTTCATCTTTATCTAGTTTTTTTGGTTTTTTTGGTTTTTTTTAAGATGAGGGTACTGGGGGAGCGCTGTGGCGGCCGGGCTGATGTTTGAGGGTCGTCAGCGTTGCTTGTATTTTGGCTTGTGACGTTTAAAGCGAGCATTAACTTCAGCTCTGTGTAGTGCTTAAATGTTGGCTAAGCGAGTATAATGTTTTCGTGTGAGTCTGGCTTCCTTGTGAATCTGTATTTAAATGAACTGAAAAACAGGGCAGGGCGCTTGGCACCTGTGCACGCCCAAAAGTTTTCCAACGTGGAACATCCTTCTCCCTTCTTCAAAATAGGGTCAGAGTTGCTATTGAGAAGAGGGACACAGACAGGGCAAGAGGATGCTCTGTACGAACTGGAAGCCTCCAGCTCAGTACCCTCGGTGTGAATTCTTTAATTTGCGAATGCGCTTTCTTATTTGCCTGACCAGAGGCTGCCTCTCGGGCACCTTCGGAGGTTTCCTCCTTTGAGGGAGAAGCTGCTTTGAAGGAAATCCCACAAAAGAGTTGGAAAGAAAGTCTGGTTAGAATAGCATTCAGCAGAATGCTGGGATTAATTTTCTTCTACATATTTTTAAAGAACTCGGGTTATATGTGTTATATTTCGTGGTTATATGTGTTCTATTGCTTTATATACATGGGATATTTCTCTGGCATCACGTCAGCACACTCCAGAAAAATAAATGTGATTTTAATCTTGTGTATCAGGTTAGAGGTGCCCTTTTTCAAGGTTGTCAAGAAATACTGCTCCATTGTAATTGTAAATCGGGCAGTTTCAGCTTTTGCAGACATCGGCTCCCACACTGTAGTCGCTGAAGCACCGGCAGGTGCCGGACAGTTGAGCTGTTAAGTATTATAACCCTTGCTCATATGCAAGCATAATGAGGGTGACGGGTATTTAGCAAGATTAGTGCAATGAAGACTGTATAATTAGCAAGGTCTTTTTAGTTGGGGAAGGGGAGTTTCTTTAATCTGTTCGTAGAAGCACTCCAATCTTTTGTTTCCTGTGCAGTTTGAAGGCTTCTGGAGGTGTACGCATCTCGCTGCTGGTCGCTTGGGACTCCTGCAGAACTGCTGCTGCTGCTGGTATGTGGCCACGCTGGAATTTCAGGGCCCTGACACGATGAGCTGAGCTCAAGTTACAGGGAAAGACTGATGCTTTTTGAGTCAATGCACGGAGTTAAGGCCACTTGGGTAGCAAGCTTGTCGGAGATCAGAGAGAGTGTCTGCAGCCCGCGCAGCAGTAAGGTCTAAGGTTGCTGGCTTTCTGGCTCTTCGTGCTCCTCTCCCTTCGCTTTAGCCTGCCCCGAAGCACGGTTCCTCATTGAGCCTCTTTTAAAATTGTCTGGGGCAGGGAGGGAGTAGGTTGGCCTCAACGTGTTAATCAAAATAAAGCTTGCTGGACTGTAAGCAGGGGAGGGTTTATAGGGCACGGGAACAGGCATGGAGTTCTGGAGTCATAACTTCCAACTCAGTTTTTTTTATATTTTCTGTGCTTTTGTAGCTGGGGGGGTTTAATTACATGAACAGCACACAGCGTTATTGCAGTGTAAGGCTTTAATACCCGTGGGCAGGGGCAGCAGTCAGAGCGAACGACCGTGCGTCCGGTGAGGGAGAGGTTGGGCTCTACGCGGCGTTTCGGAGAGATTCGGAGGAACAGACTGGCCTTTCCTGCCAAGAGGAAAGATTCGGTGCCGAGATGTAACGTTCTCGTACGGCAAAATTGCAAGGCAGTTTGCATGATGCGAAATGGAGTTGCCCGTACGCTCGCTGATGATTTTTTTTTTTTCCCCCCGTATTGATGTGAAGAGGGCCAAGTCTGATGCTGTGTGTTCGAGGGAAGGATTATTTGGTGCCTGTGGGAGAGCTGCTGAACTTGGCAGCTTTGCTTTCAATAATGCGAGTGAGATGCCGTTAGCTTCCGAGCTGTTTGTTCTGAAATATCTGAAAATAGTAACTGAGATTTTTACTAAGCAACCTGCAGCAAAAAAACAAGTTCCAGCTATTGCACTGAACTGAGCGTCTGGAAATCTGTCACGTGCAAACTTCAGGCATCACGCAAAAACTCTGTGGGATCGGCAACTTTTTACAACTGAGAAAGTAATAAAGAATGCCCGCATTTGAAGGTGGGACTGAAGCCTGCTGCACTGTTAAAGAGACAATTAGAAAATTTTAGGAATGATGCAGGAAGCTCTGCCACTGTATTGAGTTTCCTAGGAATAAGGCACGTGCAAGTCAGCAGACATCACGGGTTAACTAAGCATTTTTCTGTTATTTTAAACTTCATTAGGTATCCATGTTGCATTACAACATTGCAAGGATTTGAATACTTCATGAGCAATAGTCATTAAAATTTGAGTGTCAGGCAAACGCTTTTCTTGTCCTTTCTGGAAAGGCAAACCAATTACAATCCACGGGTAGTGAAAACGTAACAGCAATGATTTAATAAAACAAACAGGACTTGTTTTTTCTGGTCTTCAGTCTTTTCTGAATGTCATCTTTCTGAAGTAAGGCTGATCGCGCTGGATGTGTTTACACAGCTTCAGTTCGGGATGAATGAGTCCAAGAGTTCCCTTGCAAGTACCCCTCAAAAGTTCCCAAAAGCCAGAGAGGAAATGGAGCTCCTCAGTGTGATGTCTGACTGCCTGAAAGTCTCGCCCGGTGGAGCCTTAACACGGCTTAGAGGAATAAGGCTTTTGTTTTAAAACTGTATTTGAAGCGAAGCCTTTAAAGCTCAATAAACTGTTTTTCTGTTCATTCGATTCTGTGGATTTTAGGCTCGAGGAATCTCTGCGCGCTGTGTTTCTGGCAGAAGGGAAAGCGTAACGTGCAGTAGCAGCCTTACCTGGAGGCTTAGTGAAAAAGCAGTTACGTGGGAACTGGTGCTTCGTCTGAAACAACTTCCCGCCTCATTGTCAGGTTTCTACAATTATTAGATTAGCAAAAGAAATGCGATGTGTAGACTACCTTTTCCTTAGGCTTCTCTTCCATGCTCCAATAACCTTATCTCCAGGGCTGCTTAAATAATTTGTATAGTGTTTGGCTGCTCTTTCAGTGCTTAGATATCAAGTTTCTCGTCCGCAAAACTAGTCTACAAGTCTATTAGAACTAGGTATCTGCATCAAGCATCAGTTTTTGTTCTGGGGAATATAAAGCGTTCTCCTTTGAGCCTGTACAGTGCGTGAATTTGGTGGGTGTGATAAGAAAAACGTCCTTGTGTTTTGCATGGCTCTGTTGGCGAAAGGAGGAGTTGCTGCATGACGGTTCTTGTTGATCAGCACCGGGGAAGAAAAAAGTTTTTCCACATGCTCTAATCTGTGATAACAAAAAGAACTCCAGATTGTATTTTTCAAACGCGGTTTAGGTCCCTCGGTGCTCAGATTTGCCAGTGACTATCCAGTGCGGTAATACATCCGTCCACCCGAAGCCCAACTTGGAGTGGCCCGGTTTCAAATATGAGCCTTGCTTTATACTGAAGGAGGCTGCGCAGGACTCGGCAATCAACTGTCAAGTTTTGCGCTTCGTACGAAGTATTTTGCGGAGGAACGCACGCTGGATGTGGGTTTTGATGCCGTCGATCTCTTCCCGGCGCTGCCGTCGGCCTCTTGGTTGGTTCGGTGCCCCTCTCTGCGCCTCGGTGGTTGTAACGTGGAGCTGCTCAGAGCGACCTGCTGACGAGCTAGACTTAATCAACCTCAGACGGCGAATGCAGGAAGTGCCTCGAGGCATAATTTAACTTGAAGATGGGTTTAGACAAACAACTGTCAGAAATGTCATAGGTAAAGTATTTGATCTGGCCTTGGGCAGGTGGATGGACTGGGCAGCGTCTTGAAAACTTCGGCTCCCTTCCAGTTGAAGATTGCTTTCAATAAGAGCAGCTCTGTGGTGAGATTTGAAGCCTCCACAGTTTGCTTAAGAAAAAGACTCTTTGTCTCTGGAGAAACTGATACGGCTTCAGGTTTCTTGTAGAAGATTCCCATCTCTCTTTTTTTTTTTTTTTTTTTTCCTCCTCCCTCTAGGTAATGCTAGTTTGTGTAATTTTTTTTCCCCAGAGGACTCTACCCGTTTTAAGGCTGTTTCCATAAGTTTCCCACACACACTCAGTAATTACCCATCTAGGGATCGGCGGGTGTCGCGGCTCACGCTATGGTATCAATTAGACCAGCTCTGAAGAGTCTTAATTGCTCTGAAAGGGACAATGCTGATGGTAAGCGGTGATTAGACCCTATCTTGACTCCCGTGCTGATAAACATCCACGAAGCTGAAGCTTTTTAGCAGTCGTGGCACACGCCTGCACACTTCGTGTTACGTAAGCAGATCCTGTTTCTCTCGATGGCCGAGCGTAGTTTAACGGGCAGATAATGAGACTCTTGCTATTACTGTACTTCCTTATTATTGAACAAAGTGACTTTAGTGACAGTTTTATTTTAAGCGCTTACCACGGCAGAGGCATGAAATAAAACAGAATTTTTCACAGTTCTGACGATTGACAGCTGGAGCCATTTACTGTTGTGGAAGAAAGATTGAGAATCCAAGATCTCCCCTGAGTTTAATGTAACTTCAGAAGATTCAGTTCCCTCGTTGCTGGCCTCTCCTTGCTGGGATGGCACAACTAGTTTGGGATTAAATTCCTTCAGATTACAAGTTTCTCTTGCATAATTTACAAGGAGAAATAGATTAATATCCGCTAAGGGTGGCTTGTGCAACAGAGTTAATGGGTTTTGTACTATAAATTATAGCCATTTGTTTTTCCTTAGGGTTGTATTTGTGTGGCTTTTGGTCATTTTTATCATTTCTCATTTGGCACTTCGATTAGAGAAGCTGAGTGATGTGGCACAGCACGCATCCTATAGATCAAAACTATAGGGATCAGTATGTTTGTAATGAGAAGCCATTAAGCAGATAGATATCTGGATAGAGCTGAACTGGACAGTTTGTGTGAGGCCACGTATTATTTTTACATTGAATTACTTGAAAACGGGCCTTGCTGGTATGCTGAAGATGACGAGGGCGAGTAGTAAATAAAAATACATTTCATAGAGAGGTCTCAACTGCTTGGCTCTGGGACTGCAAGCAAACAGTATCTATTTCAGTACTGCTAAGTAAATTCTTATACCTAGAAATAAACTGTGGAGAGCATACTTACTGCTTTAAGGCAGAGAGAAGGGTGTATAAATTAGTGGGCATGAGCTGATGAGGCCAAAATGACTAGAGTAGTTGTGAGAATATTCTATGGGTGCATATAATCTGTGCATTTGATACTAGGATGCCTAGTAATGAGATACTGCATACATTTCTCCTTTCCACAGTTCAAATGAGATTTTGAAAAAAAATGATTGTAGTTTCAGGGAAAAGCACGACACCTATTAAGTCACTAGAAGATGTGTTTTTACAATATTTAGCTTTGGCTGTATCTACGTGGGAAATAAATAAATCCGGTAACAGGAGGACGTGTGCGTTAGCCCGTCGGTGAATCCTTTCGTGCGTCGGCTGCGGGCGGGGGGTATAAGCTCTGGGTTTTGGTTCCTGCCTTCCTGCTGCTGTCTCCGGTAGTCGGCCTCTCCCGGCACTGAGCAGACCCCTTTACCCTTGGAGCGGCTGCAGTGGGACGGACTGGCGTTGTGATCAGACCCCCACCGCAGCCGTTCCGTGGCTAGCATGGATTTGGGCAGCATGCTAAATGATCTTGCCCTAAACCAGGTTATGCATCCTGCTACCTTAAGGGGAAAAAAAATAAAATAAAATCTGGTTGGTAGAGCTGGCTAGCTGTGCTTCACCAGAAAATTCATCCTCCAGATACTTCTCTGCACAACTGGCCTTCGGGTGATAATTTACCTTTCTGTCTTCTCATCCTCTCTGGGAGGTGAGGTGGGAAGTGGGGATCTGGAACGAGTTATGTTCCTTCTTTCTCTCTGCTTCTTTTCAGCATCTTCATCCACAAACACGGATTCAATGTCAGTGTCTATGTTTACAATTCATGACTGTGCCATGAAATCTGTCCAGATTAAAATCTTAACCTCTGTCTGACATTTCTGTGTAGATCATTAGTTATCAGCTTAATCTTGCGGTTAATCTTACACCTCCGCCCATTTCATTCCCTTTCTCGGTTATGGATGGGTCCGCTTTCCTATTTGCTGTAAACTGCATGTCCTTTTTGCTGTAGATTTGCTCATACTTTGTGTGTCCGGGTTATATTTTGCACATATTTTCACATAACGTATCTAAAATGCAATCTTCCTATCCCCACGTAGCTGAATGTGTCATCTTAGCTTTCGGTCTTCCATGCCTTGTTTACTACCACATCCTTCTCTGCGGCCTTGAGAAAAGCAATCTTATCCCTCTCTTATCTTTGCAGAAAGCAAAGGTTATACTTTTCGCCTCGTGCTTTGATGGTATCGCTCCTCGTTTTCAGGACAGCGTTCGCAGGTAAAAGTAACAGCTTGCCTTAGATCTATGTTTGGAAAAATCAGGTGGACCTTGTTCTTAGAGCATCACCGTACATTGAAGCACTTCTGCGTTTCTCCGTTTGTCTCTGTTCCTCCGAAGGGCAGATACCGATTCCCTTATTTCGCTTCCGTGGCTTGTCCTGACGCAGCAGCTTCTCTCGGCGCTAAGCTGCTGACTTCTTCTGGTCCGTCCATGCCGCCCATCACTACGGAATAAATTGGTCTTACGAGAAGCTTGCCGCCAGCGCCGTGCTGATGCCGTCGCCTGGCTGGAGAGGGAGGTGGCTCACACCCTGCTGGGTCAGAGCGCAGAGATCCGTATTCAAAATGCAGCATGGATAGGGACTTCACAACTACACTTACTTCTAGGACATCCGTGGCTGCCTGGACCACTTCACTGTGATGCTCTCGGGTCTTCTGGGATTGCAATGTGAGTGAGCAGGTTTGACGGGAGTAGGTTAAAGTGAACGGGGATGTTTGCAAGATGCTGTACATCGGGAAGAGTAATATATAGTTAAATATTAACACG